GCTAATCATTTGGTTGATCCATTCTGCAAATCCTTTTGTAAATCAGTTTTGCAGATCTCTTTGTAGATCTGTTTACAACACAGATCGATAGATCAAGAGGCATCACACAAGCAGTCACACAGAGTTACAAATGATTTAGTAGTATATTACCTATAACATCATATACATTTTAACAAGAATCAAAAACATGCTAATTTATGTTGCATAGGTCTACATGTATTATAATAGATTTTGAGTTATACAATAATAATTAATATCATGATACAATTCAAACAAAAATCTTCCTGAAAAATCAGGAGTAGCCAGTATATTACCTTATCTAATCATTATCTTAACTGATATTTCTTAGCTTCTATCTATTGTCTAAGAGAATAATAAACATATTCCTTATATGATGAGATTACTTTAGCTGGATTAATTATTTCAATATATTCTAAGTAATTTTTTCTAAATAAAGCATAAAACTTATCGCAAGCTATATCATACTCTTCTTATATCTTAGGATTAATTAGTATCTGATTATATGTAAATATACCTAAGAATTTCTTTCTATCAAGAGTACCATCATTCCTTACCACTTCCTAAACCTATTTTGCTAAAAATTCAGGTCTCTTCTTATAATTTCTATAAGCTCGCTAGATAATAGTTGCATAAAAATTTTTAAAGTCATATTAATAGTAGTATTTAGGAATCAAGAATCCTCAAGATTGTTTCATTGATTTTCTTGAAATAATATTTCATTATAGATTAGAAGATCTAACTCAGAATAGGCAGATTATATATGATAATTTGACCAATTTTATCCTGTAGGTGATACATTTCACAATTTCACTAGATGATCATTTATGCAGATTACATACTGAATTTTAATTATATATTTCACAGAATAACGCAAAAAAAATTATATTATATTATTTTGTAAAATGCTTAGTTAATAATTATACATGAATATAAAATATACTATACTATTTTAATAAAGAATCTATGCTTCAAAAATTTGACACATATACTTACAATTATTATGTAAATCTGAGAAATTTATAGTAGTATTCTCTCTATTAATACTAATATTTCCAGTTTTATAATAGTCAATATCTAGTAAATTATATTGATAATATTTGCCTATCAATTTACACTTATATCATGCATATTCTGAACTTCTAACAAAGTTTTCATTACCATTTTTGAGATATTTATTAATACAATAAAATTCAAAATTTGATAGCCACTTTAATATATAAGTCTATTCTGAATATTTAACGATTCTATAGCCTTGTTAATGTAATTCTATAAAAGTAACTATATATACTATATTATTTAATCATTCCTATAACTGATCTTTCTTTTTTTCTATCCAGTTGTTAGAAAGATAATATTCCTTATACTCTCTTAACAATAGATAATTATATCTTTTATTTATTATAGCAATTATTTTAATATTATATAAATCATATTATTGATGAGTATAAGGATTTTTTATTTTCTGAAGAATGATACCTAAATATTTCTTATTATCAGAAGTACCATCATTCCTAACTATATTTCAAACTTGTTTCATTTACATTTCAAGTTTTAACTTGAAAGCTCTTCAAGTTTATTAGATGTCTTTTGTACTGTTAAATATGAAATAAGTAATTCTTTTCCTTGATTTATAGTCTGTATTATGTAAATTATAATCACGCGATAAATATATAAAATAATTTATAAAAATCCCATCAATCTCATCAGAACTAAGCGATGATATACTTCCTTCTTTTTTTATATTTTTTCATATAGAATTAGAATGCATTTTAGCATTTTAATAATATATTTTTTCAGATAATCATTATCACATTTGATAGTATTTTTATAGATAATTACTAAAGAATTGTATACAATATAATAAATATGAAATGAGCATTTTTTAAATTTAAATTTCCTATCTTTATATAATTTTTAATCATTTGAATAAATCCATTCTTAAAGAAGTATTTTGGGTTATATTCAAGAAGTTTTATAAATAGATAATAAACACGAGAATACTATATTTCTGATGTTTTACCATTATATCTATATTGTGAATTATTTAATGCCTGTATTACTATAGGATTTAAACTAGAATAATTAGTTTTAATTATTTTTATAGTTTATAACTGATCTTAGTGATTTATAATGTTTTAATAAATTATAGTAATTTCAGTATATTATATCGATTCTTTATCAACTTATACTAGAGAATATCATGATTCAAATTTATAGCTATTTTATTAATTTATAGCCAATTTAATAGACTTTATACTGTTAAACTCAAAATTCATTTTTTATTTTGATTACAAGTAAACCAGAAATTCACCTTGACTATGTTAATTTTATATTCAGATACGTGTAAATAGTGTTGAGAAAAATTATTCAAACATTTGCCTTTTTACCTGTTGAGAAGTTTCAGATTTTTGGAATTATTATGTCTGAGATGAAAATTTCTAACACTGTGTGTAGCTTAGTTTGTAGATCTAGAACGATTTTGTCTTAGTTAAATTAGATCTAAATTAATATAATAACTAAATTATCATCATTATATTATAATACATCTGGATCCTTGCCAATATTTCTACCAGCTCTCTCCTATCACTTTCTCATAACCCATATCATGAGATAATTAGCAATTCAGATCTTGAATTTATAAAAAATACAACTAAGCCACCCTTATTTTTTTAATTAGTCATTATATTAATTATTGTAAAAATTAAAGCGCTAATTATATGCAAAGCTAATTTAGTCTTACTCAATTCTTACTAATTCGCTAACTCATTCCAATCATATCCTATATAAACGAGTCTTTTTAGCTTTTTTCCATAAAAATAAAAATGTCTGCATAGTGAAATGAAGAACAAACTTGAATGTTTATCGATAAATATAAAAATAGAAATGATCAATATCACTAAACCTCTAATCGCTATAAAAGGAATTTTTAAGAAATTCTTAGTTCTAACTTGAGTATACTATGTAAGTTATATGATAATTGAGTAGTTAGAAACACTTTACATATACTTAACCTGACTCTGATTTGATATTTTTATTATATATAACTGGTCAAAGCCTATAAGAAAGCTAAGGTAGAAGCTAAGAATCTCTTAAGAGACCAACTATTAACTAATGAGAGACCTGAAGTTTATTTAAGTGAATGATTACCAGCTAGGATGGTAACTAAAAAGAAGAGAAATATTATTGGAGAGCAATATTATAAAGAGTTCTCTATAGAATTTTGGAAAAAAACCCGATATTTATTTTTCTAACATTTGTATTTACTTTGGTAAATTCAGGATATTCTTCCTAAAATATTTATTGTTTCTAGGATCACAATATTTAATAACGCTATCTAATATAACTATTTAATTAACACTATCAATACCTAGTCCTCTCAAAACTAGCTTTGATACTTCTTCCTTTTTACATAAACAAACCAGACCTGTAATACTTTCTATTGAGACTCCTGTAATCTCTAAACTTCTTATTCCAACATTTTCTGCTTTCTCTCAAATTGCGAATATAATTAATATTACTATTAATTACAATAGCAATACTTCTAAAGAAAATACTTTAGAAGAATAATAAGAAATATAGTGTTTTTTATTAATAACTGTAAAATATTATTTTAATGATTTAGCTGTTTTTTTAACAACTATATCAAAACTGGCTGAAGACGCTAAAGCAAAAACAAATGTAATTAATAAATATTACTTGTAAAATACGAAATACATTTAAAAAACTCAAAGTACAGTCCCCGTCAAAAGTAATGGCGGACAGTTTTTTTAACCTTATACATGTAATTTTATATCAAATATAGGTAAA